ACCCATCATAGTCGTTGTTGCTAATCGTATTTGGGTTTATGGATTGGTTTATTATATTAGCAGCCTAAAATGCGGATATAGTTTAGATAATAAGATTAAAAATTTAGGTACTATCAACTGCACTAGTAAAAGAACTAAATCCTCAGGTAGCTGTTGGCTAAACAAACGTTTAAAATCAAAACTCCGTAGCCTACTAGAATTAACACTAGACGAATATTTCTGAATTGAAATTTATAATTAGATTAGGCGTCTCGGATTCTTTAACGTTCTAAATTTCTGATAACTTCGAATCACCTAAAGCAAAGCAACAATACCTATTTTTCCACTGACTAATCCGCATTCAACACTATAACTAGTTAAACATAATAGTTTCAGGATATCGTCATAAAGCATTGTCATAACTTGACAATCACGTAATATGACTGATAAAATTAATGAAACTACTAACGAAATCAGTCAACAAATTGGCTTATAATTACCATTAAATGGTGTTGTTTTCTTGGTATCTTCATCCATCACAGATGATTACAGTATGTTTCTCTATCAGTTGCTCATTAAGTAAATATCTCAAAACCTTGTCAGTCTTATTGATAATTTAGCGACACAATCATGCATGCAAATAATCAGTATAAGCAGTCGAGCAAATCTCCTGCAAACTGAAAATATCAATGTCGAATTTACCCCAACACTGACTAAGGTTCAAGCCATTATCATAGACATGAGTTGGGAGTGTACTCCCCTTGGTTACAACTTATGTTCTCCCTGATAATCACATGAGCATCACTCACTATTAATCATCTTGTAAAAACTTATTTAGCTAAATATATCTTGCAGCACCACATCACTTCGTAATATGACCCATAGGCTTAACTGATTTTAATAACTTATAACCACTATATCTCAATTAAATCGTATTCTGCCTGGATACGTGCAACTAACTTGTATGCACCATCAGCCGGCAAGTATAAATATAAATAAATAGTCTATCGCAGATCAGAACATTGAGTCTAGAGCATGTCTCTTACGAATACACTCATGTTTAATGATTTGTTCCTAGCTATCTGTCCAAAATTCATATAATCATCATTCACGTATTTAAATTTTGTTTTGATGAACATTCATGTGTATTAGTAGTATTACTAAATTCTATCACGGTCAAGTAAAAATGAGGTTGAGAAAATCTCCCCGTAACTAAATAAACCGTATCAAACTAACTGGAACACTAGTTGGAATTCTTTTCCATGGTAATACTTTTGTTCTTCCAGTTAGCCTACTAATACAGATGCAATTGGAAATCACATATGGACGGGTTACCGGCATAATTGTTAATTGGTTTCATAATTTAAACCAAAACTAATACCAATATTAACATTTCTACAATATTCATTACTTTAATATTTCTAAACACAAAATACTTACTACCTAAACCTTAAGTTATTAACCAACGGCTATTAACACGCATTGTTTTATTATTATTACTGCAATCTCATTTTTTATAGTTCAAATAATCTTCACCCGAATTGTCACTTTAAGTGTGTTAAGCATGAAGGCTGATATTTTAAAATTATTACATGTATTTCCCGACCAGATGCTGCCGCTTTCTTTTTGATTTATCTTTCAGCTTATCAATACCCGGAGGATCCTTATTATCCTTGGTAACCTCCGGCGCGCGACGATCCCATCCAATTCGGTATCGAACCAACATCACGTTGATTCTGGTGGGAGAGTAGTGTAGTGGCATTGAACAATAACCGCACAATCCACAAAGCTGAACACGAGACTACTCAGAAAATAGATATTCAATATTTAACGCGGATAAATACCTAACGATGGAGAAGGCGCGAAGAATGAATTGAACGGACTGGAGTTGATCGAGTGGCATGGCTCGGCCATGCAGGCGTGGTCTCTGCTGAATGTTACCTTATATCTTCTATTCGTATTAAATATATTGTTCTTTCTTCAGCCTAACCTTGTTCTACATCATGTATTGGTAATTGATACGATACAGTGAGTTGGTGTAGTCGATGGTGTGACTTCCACGTAAGATCTTATAGATTAGGCAGTTATATCATGACAAATCTACAAATTTAGGATTAGGTCTATTATTAGAGCAGTACTAATATCATAGTAGACCATAATTCTACAATACTTCAACCGCCTTCTGAATTAGATCATGAATTAAAAGTAAGCAATGTGTATTCCAATAAATTCGAATAATACAATATACCATAATGATGGCATTATTGTTCTTATAAGCATCTCCTAGTATATTTCCGACTTAGTAAATGACACACTGGAACCACTTTCGCTTTTCTCAAAAACCAACGAACGGAATAAGCTTCAAATTGTCGCAGACGATTATTGTAAATAGCTTCTGCGGTAACAAAAATGGGTTTGAACTCAAATCACAACTGGTAATCAGTACATATAATTGGAAACGTCATGTAGTGTGTGAAATTGTTCCTTTAGTCGTCAGCAGCAACCGGAATTGAAAGGTTATGGTCTAACAAAATGTTTAACCGTCTTATTGCCAGAAGTTAAATAAAATCATGAATGATGGAATCCATGCACATAAAAAATATGTCTTCGATCACACAAACTTATACGTCAATGGTCGAAGTGTCAGGTGGCACATTCCATCGATGTGTAGCAGATCAGTTATTACTGAATCAGTATGGGGTAGTCAAGCACGCCCCAGCCAAATGCTCACTTTCATGAACAAAATTACACAAAGTTCGTGAAGGCAATACTCACAAATATGAAAGTGGGACGAATGAAACGATACGATGTTTATCGAGATATGTCATGAGGAACGATATACCATAAGACAAACAATCATCGGAAAGCGTAATATCGTAATCAAGGAATATGTGTGGACTGGTAACAAAGAGACCAGTGAAGGCCCTGTTTAAAGCCACCGATAAATGGATTTGAATGTCTGTGTTGTGATATTTGGTTTGTGGCGACTTATTTTACAATAGAATGCACTCTGGCGCACGAATAGTATAGCGACCATCATGGAGCACAGTGAAAGTGTTTATGAAAATCATTTTCATACTTTTGCATCATTTCCGTTTCGTACTTGTTAATTTAAGTTGATAATGACTGGTAGTGTGGCGCAAGTCGTTATGATCGATCAGCATCAGTTATTGATCTCTCTAGATTAGACAGTTCTTCGATCAATAAAATCTAATATACGATGGTAAATATTTGTAATAAATATGAAATAATGCAGTTGGCAAGTTAAATCTACATACTAATATTTCGCTTATGAATTGATTTCAGTTTTTCAAGATATTGCGACGATTCTACCTATAGCCTTGCTTTGGTTACTGCCGGTCCAAAATCCTGATAAATTAGAAAGGTTGAGCGTACGGTCACCAGCTCCAACCTTTGAAAACCAACCGTTTTTAAAAGTGCTGACCAGAAAACCGTTTATTCGATTGCAGACTGGTGTAAACGAGGAAACAATATTTTGATCATTCTCGACATCGTTATGAAGCTTACGATTTACCTTCACATTATCAAGATTTACATTTCGCAGATATAACACAAACACATATATTAGCTGAAATTGTTTTTCATTTACAATAATGTGAACTATTATTTATTCGCCAATAATCGGCTGATTACGTTTTGCGTAGAGTCAAAACACCATAGACATTGTCTTATCACATAGATTTACTTGTACGTTTGGATACACATGACAATTAAACAAAATCAATAGATATATGGGAATATTTCATTGAAATACCAAAATAGATATCAGTCTTCCTACTGTGTATTAACATATTTATTAGCTTTCAGGTTAAGCAATCACTAATGGAATTACAAATCTGTGTGTGGATGGAGAAGTCCATTCCATTTTTAACACTTTACTTTAAATGAAATGCATTGTGTTTCTTTCATTACAATCATTGATCACTTAGATCTTAATTAATAAACACATTCAGTTCCACTTCTGCGTGGTCCGCATTACAAACTTTATCTACTTTCATCACAACGTCTACTAACAGCCAGTGGTACAATATGGCGATCAAATTGAACTGATCTGGCTTTGTTCAGAAGGTGCAATTCCACATTCAACAATGTTGCAATCGTCTGACAGAATTTGTTATATTGAAATAACATTCAGATGCTAAATTGTAAATTTAGACATCCAATGAAAACTGACTTTGCTAATTTGATATTAACCAATCAAATTAAAAGAATGCACCATTGGCAATCAATTCACAGAATAATACAAGCAACGAAATGTTTGTTCATGAAAATATGAGCAAGTATTTTGAACTACTAATAAGCCAATCACTTAGACTGAAGTGTAGCTAGTTATATTCAAAATAGTTTTTTCATCAATACTGGCTTTAGAATTTCAGCCTATATACCTCAATAGCTAGAAGAATATTGCACAACGATGAGTTGACATACCTTGATGATTGGTTAACAATGATCACATGGTTTTACTGCACTTGATAGTCCTAATGGTTAATTTAAGTCATCGAATCAGATAGAACCAAATGAACACTTAAAAAATCTATATAAACTCGACAGATTTATCAACAATTATTAACGTTTTGAAGAAGAAAATGAGGTGAGTGTTGACTGTACAGATAAGGCAAATGTTTGTATTACATACATTATAATTTGCTTCAATGAAATAAGGCATGATTATTTATCTGAATCATTTTAGATATACTCTTTCATCTGGTCAATTGATACTCGTCTGCTCGGTCATCTTCTTGGTTTCGAAATTTATCGACTGCCATGAAATTTGCACAAAATTTGAATTTGAGGATTATAAGAAAGTGATTTTTGGGGATAATTCTTATGAATATGTAAGTATTCAGTCAGGTTCCAATTCACACATTCAGTCTCATTATTATTACTACTCCCAGCTAACACGTCTTAATCAGCCTCTTCCAGTTTTAAGTGACGATTTCGAGAAATTGGCTACTAATCAGGTGAGTTAACCACATTTTGCAATCGAGATACCAATCCATATGTTTGCAAATCTTCAGATTGTCGTTCCAGAGTTCGCGATTAAATTTTACGGTACTGACGTCACATCGCTCTTCATAGACAGACAAGGTGAGACCATCATTTTCTCAGAAAATATCTGTCAATTGGACTATTGTCTGACACATAAATTGATTTCCTCTTTACCCCTTGATTAATATGTAACCTCATTTGTTATTTAGTCTTGGATCCACTTCATGATGCAATCGTATTTATTCTATACATTTTCCATATAACTATATTTACGAAATTACAGCTGAAGTTAATGATTTCGTTGAAAAGAAAATGTTCTTCGCTGAATTCTCTTTTTCGTATCGAGTGGCACTGTTTGTTATTTTAATTATCTGAAGAGCTGCAAGAATCCTGTTATTGAATTTTATATATACATAAATCAAAGTTGCTTTAATTTCTTTAGTAAATCAGTTTTATGCTTTTCTAACATTCTGAAGTTCTACTGATATTTTATTTTGTTCTAGTTGTAAACAGTTTGACGCCTTACAGTTGATTAATTACAGTTTATGCGGTTCATTTCAGTTTTCAGTTATTTTCAAAGAATGTCAATAATTCACCACAGATTATTAATGAAGTCTCATGTTTTCGTTCGATAAACATAGGTTCGATAGTAATGAACAAAGGAAGCGTCATAGGACAAATTGACAATGTTTTCACAAGAAGTTCGGTGAACGTCTTTCAGATTTCAAAGGGAAGTGAGTTTATCCGTGATGTTTTATTTTCTTTTTTTAATTAACACTTTTATTTTGCACACATAACTCGATATTTAACCTGATTATTTTATGAGAGCGGGCAAGTACACACGGATTATTTTGTTTGTGTGATTTGATGCTCTAAAATGTGTTCACAACATGTATCCATTACTGACAAGTGAAAACGTTAAATAAAACAGCGATTCACTACAAAATAAATACAAATTTATTGAGTAGAAATAATACGTCGATTGACAAAATTGCTGAAGTGAAAGTAACAGTTTACGGTCTCTTTAAACTACCATGTAGCAGATATCTCATCAATATGACAATGTTTTTGAGTCACTGTCTGAGCACCGTCCAATGTTCAACAGTTTCCTACTTATCACATGCCCATGATCATGAAATTTGAACTTATTATCTTCCACAAGCATCCATCCAACGAACGACCGTGAACAGTCTGTTCGTACAATATGAATAATTCTAACTAGAACACCCTGAGCATCAATATGAAATTCATTCATTTCGATGTTCAGTTATGGGAATTAATGATATTGGTGTAACATTGCTGCGTAATGGTTAGTTCAGTTGTTAGAACACTGTTACATTGTGATAACAGAATCTCAGAAAATCAATAAGTATGTGTATTGTTGTATAGATATTGTCGGTCGCTTGGTTAGCCAGAAGCTTTTTAAACCAGCGTTTCAGAAGTAAAACATTCTTCTCAGTTAATTGGTTCGAAACCCTCATCATATCATTGGTATAATAGCTAGGATAATTATAGCTCTCATTTGATTGAACCGCATCACTTAATTCTCGAAAGGAAGATGACAAAACTTGTCTTAGCTCATTCTGTATTATTATGTGTGTTTATCGAAAGAGGCGGATATTCATTATGCAGATATACAAAATCACGATTTGTTTTTTCTTTCATTATTTCAGAGGAATTATTAGCCATCAGACAGTCTTATCATAAGCAAAGTTCTAATGAGGGTATGTATCTATAAAATGACAATTTGACCAAATGTAAAATATTAACACTTTCACTAACATTCATCATAATTGCTCACACGTTCTCTGTTAACTTTGCGTATTTGAGTTCCGTCCAAAAACTGGCAGAAGTATTAAAGTGGAACGATTCAGGAAAATTATGGCAAAGGTAAATCTGGAATCCATTGATTGTTTAAACAGTTTGATTGGGAATGAAAAAGAAGTTGACATTAGTAGGAACATACAAGTTTTGATGTGTACTAGATAGATCAGGATGGATAAATTAGATCATAATATAATTCCACTTGTAAATAAACTAATGAAGAGATACATCTTCGTCAACAGGCTTCATTGCTGCTTGGTTAGAAGTCTGTATTCCGAAATAAGTAAATTTGTGTTACTCATCACACGGTCATTCATAAAAGTTATTACTCCAAATTCAGAAATCACCAAGACGAATAATCTGAAACTATTCATTTTCCATCGTTATCGAACACTAATAAACAAATGCGTTGCATCACCAACTAAGTTACCATGTTCTATTTGTACACAAACACTCCACAGCTCATGTAATGTGTACAAAGTGTGGATATTCTGCTTGGCAATTATAGAGAATGCTTAGCAAATTTCAATGCCTCCCTAACTATCCGACTTAATTGGAAGCTTGATGATCTATTAATTCGATATGTAGACGAGGTTTTAATACAGCCTCGGATGCATGCTTGCTTCATTTACACGACGTTCAGTAGACTGTATTTATCACGAATTCAACACGGTAAAATCTAACAATGTCATGATCACCACTCATCCTTCAAATTGTAAATTTCGATGGTCTTCTGTTTTCAGATCTTACATTCAAGGTAACCACTATGATAAGTTCAAATGGGAAGATATCTTTCTATTATGAAAACGTAAGTTGCACGATAATTTTAATTCAACTACTTCAGATTATTCTCTTATTTTGCGCATGTCAGTAGTGTCAAATGCATCAAGATATGTTGAACATGATAGAAGGATATCAAAATTTTGCTATGTGCACACAGACTATGTGGGTACTACTGTTTATTGAAAATTCAACGTAGATGATTTATTTACACATTTTGAAGCAAAATCGTAGCATCCATTCTGATAAAAAATGGCGGTGCCAAATTTTTCATTTCTTGCTCAATGTTTGATAATGAAACCATGACCCTATTATTAACCCCTTTATGATACGCTTGATTATAGCACTTTCTTAAAACTATGAACTATAAGAAGTGAAATGTCATCAATAGAAATTCTGATGTCTTCGTGCATATAAAGGGCAACCAGTGTATGTCCGAGTACTTTCCGGCATAGTCTTATTCTGTCAAACTTTACTACGTCTTCTGAATTTCAACTGTTCGACAAGATCGATGTTAACTATTTTAAGAGATTAGTTGCTAAAGTTCGTGATCGATCCTCAGTGTGTAGTTGTTTGAGTGTCAGTATTTAGTAATGTATACATTTGGAATACAAAAGATGTTGGATGACTGGAAAATGTTGGTGAGATGAATGATTTCATGCGTGTCGGACTGAATCCGTTTTGATTGTTTCGAGTTACTCGGGATATATGATGGAAACAATTATCCTGGGAAATGAATAGTAATTAATGGAAGTGAGCACATCAACACAATTCTACTACATGATAAAAAAATTCACGCACAGCAACATTTCAGTTATGCTCAATCGTATATTCATCTTATACATTTCCTCGCCTCACGTTTGAGGGAACCGAGGAGGTCAGTATGCCTAACGTAATTAAGATTTTTTGTCTTTGAACACGGTAATGTGAATGACGACACATGCTTTCAAATGTTGGTTTGTTGGTTATGATGTAGGTTGTTGTGTTTTGACAGATCTTGACTCACACTACCATTACTTCTTTTCAGGTTCCTAAGACAACAGTGACAAAGCACGTGAGATCGGGCATTAGCGTTGAAATTCAGTGTGGAAAAAAAGGAAGTAAGTAAAGTTATTTATATTCTGATTAACACTGACCTACATGAACAGTCATCTGTTAGCCTTGTCTTCCTTTCTATTTATACCCAATAATCTTTATGTCAACACAGAAATTCGCCTTAATCTATCATAGTGATTTAATATATCTTTCTTACAGTCCACATTATTCAGTAGTTTCATGTGAAAACAGATTGGTCGAAGTGTCATTGAAGTGTTGATGAAAAACGTGTGAAATAAAATCTGTATGCTTCTGGTAAACTCATTGTCCAAACATTACTGTTTATTGAAAATTGAACGTGGATGATGTGTTTACGCATCTTAAAGCAACGTTTTAGTATCATATATGATAATGAATCAAGGTGCAAGTTAGCCCAGAGAAAACCGCGTGTTTTGATCAAGTCTTTTGAACAGTGAAACAATAAATTTGTTTGGATTGAAGTCAAGTATCTGTGTATTCATTTAAACAACCGTCATCTCTGTTAGTGTCATAAAACGATTCTGTTTCATATGCTGAATTCCTTAAACAATGAATTTCACGATCCACGTGTGCTGACGCACGCCAAACTTGGTATACTGAGTAATATAACTATGGTGTGTGAATATCTTCATTATGGATATTCAGAGAAGTCGGTCCCACTTTTTATCAGTCGCTTGTTGAACGAACTCTGAATTGTTTTCCTCTGTTAATTTTACTTCACAAGATGAGAAAGAAATTGAAGTACGTGTTCACAGAAAATGGATCCGAAGTGGAACCTTAGTGGAGTATGAAGCTCTCGGAGGTATGTTGAACCTTATTGTATCAGAAATGACTATTTTCACAGTTGAATGCATCAATTTTGTTTCGAGAAATTGAAAACTTCATGTGCGATTTCAATAAGTAATTAAATGAAATTTGGCTACTAGTATCAAATCACGCTATTCTATAAGTGGATTCTCTGTTGGTTATCTAAAATGATGAACGACGGATTTCCTTCATGTCCTCACGTGGATAAAATTCACTTAAGCGTACATAATGTTACAAAAAGATAGATGAGATAATATATGTCAGTTAGCTGATTGTGCATTGACTTGGGAGTGTCCATAGTTTTTCAACTTGCTACATGTGATATTGAATTTTCCAGAATTGTTAAAATCGCGGAAATATTTCTTGAAATTTTAAATAACTTGGAAACAATCGCTTACTTGCCAAAATCTATACTTCATCTTGTTCATCCAACGAATTGAACGTGTAGACAAATCAGGCAGTGGATATTTGTACAGTTTCAAAAATACTGAAGATTTTCATATGAGTTAAGTGTTTACTTTCTCAGTTATATGTATGGTGAGTAATCACAAACACTCTTCTGTTCGTCATGTGTTAGAGCATTGAAATAACATCGCTATGACTGAGAAAATCATTCCATAATCTAATGTTCAGATTGACTTCAATAATCGTTGAATAAAATGTTATTCATTATGGATGTATTATCATTCAAAGCCAAAATGTTGTCGTGAAATTTGAATGTCATTGAAAGTTTGTGATGCGCAATGTGATGACAAATTCACAGTTAATGAAATAGTTACTTTAATCCGAATTCACCATTATATCATCGAGTTACGGTTATATGTTTTGTAATTCACCTATCTTTTGTTTGATAACTTGTTATACAATCACCTCATTCGTTCCACTGAAGACTGTCCGAAATACAATTCGAGTGAAGCGTGTCAGGACTCAAAAACATCGAATACAACGTGTATTTGGTGTGAAACAGCCAATATGTGCATTACCAGCAATGATGAGAGTATTCGTGAATTCCAAGTAAATGGTTGCAAGGGTAAAGTAAGTAATTGATAGGTTATTTTTGATATTATCATATTCTACACAGTAAATGTATTTACTCGGAAGAATATCTTATTGCTGCGAATAATTAATGATTTGTATTCTTCTCTCAGTGCGTAAGTCAAAGTATCGTATACGTTGAAGATGTTTATTCAAATGTGAGTACAATGCCGTGCTTCCATATGGATATCCAACACACCATAAAAGCGTTGTTTAACATCTATGCCTAGAGACATGCTTATCTCCGGCTCATAGAATGTGTAGCGATTAGCGATGTTCAATACAAAACCGCATATCTACGTGAAATGTTGAAAATTACAGACGAGATCAGTGTGTATGATGAAGCGTAATCTGCCTAAAATTGGGTAACATGATTGGATAATGACTGATTCGTAGATTCGTAGACTCCTATTGTTGAAGTTCGGAAATAGGTATTTTTTTATTCCCTGCTGAGAAATACGTGTCCTGGATTGATTGCTTCAATAAAGCCGTCAGTTATAATTTGATCGATTAGTACTTAGATTGTATGAAGTTGTGACATGAAGAATACAAATTTTATCACACAAATATAAGTTGTCAGTTCGTTGTAGGTTAATAAGTACTCAACACATTGACTGTCAAATCGGTAACGGATGCTTTAAATCATTATTCCTTGGTCGCATTCATTTCCATAATCAATTCCCACAATATCGTACAATGAATGACGAGTCATTTGAACAATTTTCAATATTTGGTAATATTACCACTGTTTCACGCTTCAAATGAACAAGAATGTCCACATTTCGAGCAAACGAACTCTTATCAAACACGAAACTTCAACTCCAGGGGTCACTGAAGCTGACTTAAGACATGAAGTTTAGAAAACTACTTGAAAAGTTGAATGAAATTTGGAAAATATTTGATAATTAGTAATGACTGTACTGTTTTCTTTTCAGAATGTGACTACAGGAAGGAGAGAGAGTTTATCCGTAGTTCGCACAAACAGCTTGTCCCCTGTTTTCATCATCCTGATTTTGTTACTTTCATGTTTTTGCTTATTACAAGCGCTTTATATTTTCTACATTTTAATTAATTGGAAATTGTTTCATGGAACGAATTAACGCTTTCATTACTGTTCACGAATTAACCGATGTATTTTGCTGATAAAATATAAAATACGGTTTTTTGTATTTACGTGATTGTTCTCATTCAATAAAATCTGAATAGATTTACAGGAGTGAGCTATGTTTCATTTGCAAATTAACAGTATGGTGTATACGTGATTTTGTGACAACTGCAATCAATAATCAGTCCTTTGTGAATGTCGATTTTGTTGAAGTCTCACTATTGGGAAGTATCATTTCAAATTGACGACGTCCATCGTTCTGATTTTCAATGTTGGAATACCACCTCAATCATTCGTTATTTGATTATTTGGTGTTTAATGAACGCTGACTGACAAACTGTAGTTGTTGAGGTGTTATGAATGTTGATTATGAAATAATTCTATGGAGTTCAGTTGATACTCAACTCGGAATGAGGAAAGATGTAGATTTAAGGAACTGTGCCATAACATTACAAAAAAAGACAGGTTTGAAAACTAGTCCTTACGAAGATCTGATGTGTAACTGGTTTAATCGGCTTCCAAAGAAGACTCCTGTGCCTTAATCATAGACTTGATAGCTGCGTGTGTTAATGATTGATTACTTTATCGTACAATGCTGTGTCGTATTCGGACTCATTCTTATGGAACTATGAGACAGGATTCTGCACAGATTCATTTGCGTTGATTGCTTGAATCTTTTCATTAACGTTTTGGAATAAAATTGATCAGCCTCTCTTATTAGCATATATGCATCCTGTGAGGATTTCGTCTCTACTCCCGATAATGTTCCTGAATCACAGAATGATGTTCACTACAGTATTCCAACTTAGTATTGTTTAATTCAGACATCATCGCGTCATCCTCAAAGCTAATGAGTTTAGACACTCCCTGGCTTTTACAATCAGCTTCAATGCAGTATCATGACAGTTGTGATGGGATGGTTGGTGCGACGAAGTAATTGACGATGAGTAAAACAATACCATTGTCACGGAAAAGAAGGCAATCTCAATAAAAATAGTATGTACATCACGGTCTGTACAGAAACATACACACACATGCATATAGCATGAAAAACGACAAGCATATATATATATATATATATATATATATATATATATATAGACAAGTTAAAAGAAATTTGAAAAAATGAAATCAGTGAAAAATCCAGCCAAGAACAATATTTTTGATGATGTTTGTTTACTTCCTAACTGCTTCAAATGTGCCAACTGCTATGGCTAACGTTGTTGTTGGCCTATCACAGTACAGTGATTACGGACAGTCGGGTAAAGTAAATATGAGGTCGAAAGTTGAGAGGACCTGTTGATGGTTTGTGACTAACAAGGTGTGTGGAATGTGCGCTTATGAATTGTATCGAAAGTATTGCACAGCACAGTATGCAGTCAGACGTCCCCAGACAAATTAAGATACCTCACAACTACCAGAGTTTATGCACGCAAGCAAACATTTATCTACAATACCTTATCCAGCAAATATACTATGTACCAAACATGTTGTTAGAGATGACTAATTCAACAACTTGTATTTGACACATAACTAGTAAACGTGCTATCGTATTTTCAACCATCACCTTCAAGGTTGAGCAAAGGACAAAGGAAAGGGATAACGAGTACTATCTCCACACATCGAATCAATACTGGTTACTACATGAGAGAAAACTCCAATGTTTGAAAGTAATGACGAAAGCCAACCGAATCTGCCCTACGATTTCAGAATTTGACCCTTATATACAGTACGTTCCATACGAATACACATCAACAAATTCACTGTTTTTACTCTGAATTCACCCTGATCTTGTATTTAAATACTATTACATGTTTCTCACCCTTTCTGTTTCTTCCTTTATAAAATTCACAGAGCTTCAATTTTTTGACTCTGAGATTTCTAATTTTGATCTTGCGTAACCTGTTTAGGACTTTGATTATGTCATTTTCACTGCAGCCGTCCAAATAATTACTTATCATTCATTTCACAGACAATAAAAACGATTTATGTTTACATACAATTTCAATTACTGTTTGCATCCACATTCACAATATTGGAAAAAGTGATGCGAAATCAACCATCTGATCACCTACTTAAGGAAGACCTAATAGACACGTCACAACACGGCTTCATTAGAACAAGGTTGTATCTGATAGACTTCTTTAACGAGGTTACTCGGATTCGTGACCAGAAGAAACTAGTGGCTATACCATATTTCGATATTAAGAATGCCTTTGATAAAGAACCTCATAATCTTCTAATCAACAGACTTAAGTTAGTTGAAATCATAAATCCTTTTTTGCAACGGGTCAAGTCTTTTCTTAGGAACAGCTACCAAATAACCAAGTTTAAATCTATAGCATCTACACCTCGACGAATAACCAGTGGTGTTGTGCAAGATAGTGTCTTGGGTCCTTTGGTTTAGAACAGGTAAGACTTACCGCTACGCTGATTATTCAGAAGTCATCTATGGAATTGGCATTTGCGATGTACGTAGTACTATGCAAACAATCCAACATGAACTCAACATGGTAGACGACTTGTGCAAACGCTAGACGTTAGGGCTCAACACAGAGAAATGCGGATGGTTATGTATAGGGGGCATGTCTCTGAAAATAGAACTAACGCTTAACAACAACACACTGCCAAGACTGGCATCAGTAACTGGCCTAGGGGTACATTACTCACACAGCCTCAATTTTTCTGAACACGTCTCAGCCAATGCATCTGGAATGCGGAAATTGCTTGGATTCATTCTCCGTAATTTCTATCAAAATGAATCTGAAATCCTTCTTCATAGAGTTTGTGTAAGATCTATCCTTGAATACTGCTCGTTTTTATTTTCCAACCTACGCCTATCTAGTATACCTAAGATGGAAGGAATACAACGAAATTTCACCAGCAAAATACTCAAAACTGAATCGGTCATTGACTACAGTTCCCGATGCAGATTCTTAGCAATAGAACCCCTTTGGAAGAGAAGGCTTAGGTCTTACTTGATTCTCTACTTCAAACTACTCAAAAACCTTGCTGATTCAACATGTAAGATAGTTCTTCCCCGAGATTCAAATGAATACGAACTTCGAAACAAAGTATCTACCGTCAAAGTTGAGAAACACAGATCAAAAACTCGGAAAAACCTCTTCCTCATCAAGTATGCAATAATATGGAACAGTCTTCCCTCTGAAATACGCATGGCAGATGAATTACATTCGTTTGTGAAACTGATTGACCAAGCCCTCACTTGCACTGATCTAGCACGAACCAACACATCTGCGCCCCACTCAGACATCATAGGCTCTCTCCATGTCTAGACCAAAATGGACTTCAAGTTCAGTTTACCTTATTTTTCCTACATTGCAGTTGTATTAGTTACTTCCTCCACGCTATTTACTTACACGAAGTAGACAGGTAACTCACTGGACTTATCGATACTGTTCAACTAAACTCGGTCGCTAAGGGACACTCAATTCCATCCTGAAAAGTCAAGATGACCGCACAATCGACTGCCTACTACCAGCAGTCTTGCATCTATGGAGCCTGTTAGTCATAAATTGGCTAGGATGACAAAATAACATCATCACCAAGTGAGTGTGAGTTTTTTTCTGTTCATCTTTTATTAGCTTTCTACTCTTCTGTACACTATATTGACTTGCTATTAATATTATTTCTCCACTCGTTACCATATCTACAACTCATATACTTCTATACATTTCCGCCTGCTTTGATAAACAGCTATCCTACATTATATCCTTCTTAATGCTTATACTCTGATTGGTAACCTATATTTTATACTGCTCTTCTGTTTCTGTTTTTCTTCATCAGAATCTTGCTCTGAGGACGTACGCGCCACCTTAAGATCATTGTATACAGCAAGCGCTCTAGGAGTCTACTTTATAACAAATATATACTTAATAAGTAGGGAAGCATGCTGTGCGCCAACAAATGTTGTAATTTGTAGATCATGCCTGTGAAAATGGCTTATACCTGCTCACGCAGAAACACATCATTATTATTATATTATTACTTGTAATAACTAACTGATTGCAGGAATTAACTTGTAACTGCCTGACAAACTTGTAAAATGGTACTTATATGAATAGTGTTTTCCAACAGGTTGTGAGAGACAAAGGATTTTGTGGGGTATAACATATATCCGAAAATAGGCTTAAATAAGCTTAACGTCACAAAAAGAGGGAGGGTTGAGTTACTGACCAACAAGCATTGATAGTGAGGGCGATGACTTCAATCCACCCTTATTTGTGGGGCACAACATTTTGTATGTATCAGGCTCTTCATGACTGAGAATAAGTCAATCAATCTATGATATAGATTGTCTTCCTACGCTCACCACTCAGATTCATGTGTCCAATTTTATGCTGGGTTAGCTATTCCACTAAGACAACCACAACATGCTAACTCGGACTTTTACACTGGAATTGTATGGTTGGTATCGGATGAACAAAAAAGAAAGTACAATAAATTGGACAATAAAAGATATAGTTATTAGTATTCTTAACACTTTACCCTCTAAATGCACACTTCCTTCTAATAAACCGTTTCCCTTGTACCAACCTTGACTTACCTTCCTTCATGTGAGCTTACTTCAACTTGTTAAACATCACAACTCACCGTTCTTTATTACTACATTCTGTTATATGGAGCTTCTGACTTCATTTCACTCTAACAAGAGATAATATGAATTTATTGTTATATATTATACATCTGTCTGTCTTACAACAAAATGTTAAGCAACGTTTGGTGTTCATATCCAAGTGCATTGCTGCTCTTCTGTTTCTCTTTCATTTTTTCTTCAGAATCTTGCTCATAGGGCACAGCCATAGAACTTCTGATG